GAGGCTGGGGACCCTCAGACGGGTATCCTTGGAGATACCCGGATACCCGCCAGGATTCGGAGGAGAATGGGGCATCTGCACCCAAATCCAAATCCTCTGGCGGGTATCCGTTGGGCCTGGCGGGTATCCGCCAGCGGATAACGGGTATCCACAACGGATACCCTGAGGCCATCTCTAAGAAAACTCAAGTGGTTCTCCAGTCCGTTTCCATAGCTAAATTTTACTGGTGGGTCACTCCTGGTGACTTTGGTTGTAGCTTATAATTTCAAGTGTGCAGCAGGCATAATTGTTATGGTGGCTCACTTAAATATTTCTGGTGAAGACCTATTGTGAACCCCCTAATGAATGGTCTGGACTGTCCAAAGACAGTAACAACTCTGGGAGGAGATTCTTTCATTGAAGAAAAAAAATATAGTGGTTGTGCAAATCTGCATGCTAGGAAGATAATTTAATCCACCGGAGTTGGAACTGAATTACAGTTTTCTTACTATTTGGTACATAATGGCGGGGACCTTGGCCATGTGTGATTATGATGACTCATATAACATTTGATGTTGAGTCAGAAGTTTCAGCTGAGATGAAGCATGACTGCTTTGATTCAATCCTCATTTCTCCATTTGTCAATGTAGGACTACTAACAAGGCTCTGAGGAACTCATGAAAAACTACCATCAAGTGTGTGACTTTCATCTGTGCAAACAACAGGTTGAATGTGACAGAAACAAACCTCACAACAGTCAATTGGTGAATGATCAGATGGACATTGACGGACCATTGCCTTGGATCAAATTATAATATGCAATTTTCTGCTTCTTTTCACAAGCCTCGGGAAATGTGGGCAAAGAAAAGAAGATATCACTCAATCTCACTAAAAGATGGGGACAGACTCAATCAAGGGGGTTTTTTTTTCACCAAGCAAAAACAGACTTGTAAAAAGACTGAAAGGCTGGGGTAGCTAACTCCAAAAAAACAAATGATAATGATACATGATCAGAACATTGAATCCTTTCCAATCCTTTTGAAATGAATGGAGGCTAGAGGAAAAGGTCCGATTTTCAATGAATAACTGGAAACTGAAGACAGCTACTTGCCTTTGAGTACAAACTAAGCTGAGAAGCGAGAGAATGAAAAGATGAAGTATGAGGAAGAGACTGATGAGGAATGGTTTGGTTTAGAAAGGAATGTCAGACAACAAATACATCAGGTCGAGAAAACAAAACACAAGCAAGCCAAATTTTTTATAAATCTGATGCAGGCATAAAACATGTCCAATGCACAAACAAACAACTAAAACTAAATAGTAATGATAAAAATAATGAAAATTTGAGTGATGAGCGGAGCTCTAGAAAATTGGCAAGGTCACCAGTCCACACCAAGGAGGACTTGGCCAGCTTCACTTTGCTCAAGGCCGTGAAGGCAACGTGTTGGCCAGTCGTCGGACCTCAGTCGAGCCGTAATTGCTAATGGCTGGGCACGTGTCCTGCCAGATTCTGCAGCTACAGGGGTGGCACATAAGGGTTGACCGAGCAAAGTGGAAGTGTTGTTGGGCAAAGGATCTGAAGGGCAAGGTTCAGGACCTTCTTGCCTATTAAAATGAATCAAATGGGTTAGATTATACTACTAAGTAGACCTTGCAAGATAAAAATGTGACTCACCCTGCAACCCACTGATTACCAACCCCTGTAGGTGAATATGCTGGCGCAAGTGAGCCTTCGTATTCAGGTGTTCGCCAGGCCTGTTGGAGCAGTGCATCGGCTTGGGTTCTTTTGGGTGTTCCAAGTGGTGCTTTTATGGAAACTTGGCACATCTTCGGCATGCTATCGGGGCTACTGTATCGGGCCTTTGTGACTTCAAGCTGAGCGGGGGTTTGGTTGAGATCGGTGTCGTCACTGAGCGGGCCTCCCTTGCCCAAGTCAGTCTGCTGAGAGGGTGAGGTGTCATGGAGCCACTTATACTTCTGTGACGGGGTCACCGGGCCTTTCTCACCCAAGGATAGATATGTTGACTCGCCGTAGATCTGTGGCGACATTGATGACTTGAGGGTCCTGAGTGGCCCGGGGAACCGCTTGGCTAACTCGGCTCGGCATTCACGGGCAAACTTCCTGGCTTGGTTACCCCTGAGCATCATCATCTGTGTCTTGCTGAAAAGAGTGTGAGGCACAAAGACAAAGGTCGGGGCCGGGTCTTGTTGTTTGTAAACCCCAGAAACCTCGTTTTGAATACTCAAACCAGGCAGCTCTTCTCCGTGTCTGGTGGGCGCAGGAAAGGTGGCTTGGAAAACGATCATGCTTGCAGTTTGTGTCGAGTCATCTTGAGAGGATGGCACATCGATAACCTCAGCCGAGAGGACTGATTGTGACGGTAGATTGGGGAACATCTTCAGGTTTGCGGCCATGGCGTCCATAGCCAGAGCTAGACTTGACTTGAAAATCCACATCTCCTCTGCGAATTTCCCACTAGGAGGCGGCAGACTGGTATCCACTTCGTTGGCGCAGATGGAGCTTAAGTCAGACATCCGACAGCCAGCCAGCGTTCCAATCCATGAGCGCATCTCATCGGTGATCCCTTCGACATCGGGAAGCCTGTACGCAGGGATTTGGTGCCTAGCAAATTGGTAAACAAGAGTGTCGATGCCGCCCTCGCGTGAGATTGATGGTCGAACAGCAAAGAAACCAACGTAGATCCCGCCGCTGCGAACACAGGGCTTGGTGCCACGTTTAGCATATAGCTTGAGTTGGTTGAGTAGCCCTTCACTTTCGTCTTTGTCGACTGCTGCCCGGTCAGCAAGAACGGGTGAGAACCACCGGGTGTCGGTGAACCGGTATCCACGCTTGAGATAGTTTTCTATTGTGTCTTGGTTCTCGCCACTGAGCTCACGAACCAAGAAAAGCATAACACCCTGCTGACGTGGAGCACGCACGGCAACACTGTAGACAGACGATTCTTCATCAGCCGGAACGTTACACGCAGCTTTCTCGTCTGAGACAGGTGCCGATCGGGTGCCGGTGCGGAGGATGTTGTCGAAGAATACACCCATGTCGCTGACAGGTAGACCAATCTGATTGGCCAGGGATTGAGTAGTTTCAAGGCAGCGGTCCTTGAACAATGCCAGGTGAGCAGCATTTTTGGACGATGTGTATGAGGAGCCTGGTTCCTTGCGGCTCCTGAAGATTCGAGGCGCGCTACTAGCGGTAGTGGGTGGAACGAATGAGGTGAGACCCAGGGCGCGTGCGGCCATGCGAGGAAGAAAGGGGTCAAGGATGGTCCAGTCCCATGATAGGGAATATAGCCATTGGAATGTTGGTTGTCTGAAGTTAAGCTCTTCAATGATATCCTGAGAAGACAAACACATGGTTAGGAACCACGAGTTAAGTGACAGGGATTGGGGAAGAAAAGAAAAGGACTTACTTTCAGAGGAAAGTCTGTTTCAACTTCGCCCATGGGTAACATACCATCTGGGTTTACTAGCACTCGACCTGATTTGTCAAAAGTGGCTGATGCAATCGTAACTCTTCTGGCTTTTCGGCGACTTTCCCGGGTAACAAGAAAATCCGAAAATACGATAATGAATGAGATGACACAAACTCCGAAGCACATAACACTGATGGCTAGATAGTTGTTGTTTGTTTATCAACACCAGGAATCTCAGCAAGCAAGGTTATAGAAAAAGGAGAAACCCAAGCTTACCAATTGTAAGTACGGTTGATGTTTGTTTGCCTTGAGTGAACCCCTCAGTTTTGCCACGGGGAACATACCATCTGGTTCCAACAAGACCAAGATCTGAAAAAAAAATCATGGTGAGCTGGTGTGTCACAAACATGTACGTTGAATGACGCACAATGCATTCCAGAAACTCCAGCAGCAAGACCTAAAGAACAAATCATCTTTTTCCACCAATTTGCATGCCATTGGGCTTGGAAACTGTCAACAGAATAGTGTCAATGTCAGTGAGTTGTGGGGTAGAATACCACAAGGCTGCTGGCAAACACGTACCGGAAGAAGACAAGGAGAGAAAGAGTTGAGGCAACGCAAGCCAGGATGATTGAAAACACCAAATGAGGCAGATCATACTCTCGCTCAAAGGAGGATGAAAACCCCGCAGCTGCAAACCTTTTCGCATAAGAAATCCAGTCGCAAGAACAAGCATGTCAAGAATCTATAGCTCACAATAATGCATGAGCGCAACGGTCCCGCCAACAATCAGTCCTCCAATGACGATCCGTAGACTTAGTAGCTCCTCAGAAGTACGCATCCGTAAACATTCTTTGATGGGCCAAAGTGAACGCTGGATGAAGCTTGCATTGACGGGATATAGACTTTCTGGCTTGATTTCCGCCCCTTCATCACGATCATCCAAGGGGAGTGATTCTGGCCCGGCACCAATAAATACGAAAGCGAACACCAGTGAGAACATGGGTACAAACAAAGACAGTACTGTGAATCCGGGAGAGACTACAGTTCAAATTGGACATCAGCGGCCCTTCCTGGTCAACTACACTGTGTTCGCTCAGAGGGAGGCTCACATTGTATATACCAATCTATTCCGGGAGCTGGTGTCAAAGAGAAGTTCATTCCAATAAAGTGCATGCCTGATGAATAGGTTGAATGAGAGCAAGTTCAGTTGAGAAAATCATCTTGGGATAAACCTATGCGCGCGGGAGCTTACCCCAAATTCCTCTATGATTCACAACCAAAAAAAAAAAAAAAAATGAGTGAGTATCAGGATTCAGGAAGACTCGAACTAAATAAACTATTTTTACACGCTGCCCATGGTTGTCGCGGCCAAGACAAGAATTCCCCAGTTCCGGGCGCCGGCGGTCGAAGTCCGGCGCGAGAGCAACAAAAGAGTAGTTTCGGCACCCAAGAAAGATGCAACAATCGAAGCGACGACAATCCCGGCATTGAAGGTTTGAGGGAGAGGATGTGTTTGATAGTAGATGGCTAAGGCGACCGGATCGGTGGTATTTGGGAACGTGTAATGAGTAAGAGCCATGATTGCAATGTAACTACTGTTTGCTACGAATTTTTGGAGTCTGATCCTGATAAATAATCCTCGCTAGTACTTGATTCTTCTTGCCGGTCTTACCCCGAGCGCGGGGGTGTTGAATGTGAAAAAATGGCCCGGATGGTCTGAAGGGGCCGAGTGAAGGGGTAATGAATGTGAAAAGCGGACCCGTCGGTCCAAGGTGGCCGAGTGCGGGAGTGATGAAAGTGGAAAAATCGACCAGACGGTCCAAACTCGGCCGAGTGCGAGGATGATGGAATTTAACAACAAAAACGGGATGGTCAACCCGAATCGATGGCAAGTGCGAGATGAATCACAAATCTTCAGCCCAGCGGACCGACGTTGCGAGTTCTTGTGTGTTCGTTAAACCTCAGACCCGAATGCGGAACGAAGGCCGAGCCGTCGCCTAATTGGACGCTATTCTTGATGTCAACCGGAGATTTTTCCTGGGAGCTATTGGCGGCACTTCGGTCGCGCTTCGTTTGCGGTTCGTTCGTCTTGCGTGATTTGGGAGGAAGTGAGGATTCCAGGCAGGGATTCGTCAATTCTCTCCGACCAGCCGTCAGAGCGATTTCCCAGAGCCTCCAAGCACAACCAACCAGGGCACCTGTACCTGAGAGCGCTATGGCCTCGGGGCCATAGCGGTCATGGGGTACTGCTTCCTACTATACGACCCGGTGCCGAAGCCTCTGCGCCCCAGCCAATGACCCGACTCGGAGGCGCATCCTAGGCTCTTTTTTTTAGTGCTAATTGATTTTACATTGCGCACTTAAAGTAATACTTCAATTTAGATACATGCGATGACGATTTTGAACAGGTTGTTTGCTGTTGTTTGAGAATACTATTACAATAAATTTTGATAGTATTTTATTCTTCTAAATTAAGCATCTGACGCATCCTAGGCTCGTGACCATAGAGGACGCCCCTGGTCTCATGGCGCCTCGGTCGGTGTCATGCCCATGGCACACGGATCACGACCCCGCGGCCATGTTGACACCAAGTCGACCCCCCCAGACCAGTCAGCACTAGAAAGAAAAAGAAAAGAAAAAGACCCCCCCAATCGCTACGGGGACGTGCCTGTTCTGGGTCAACATGATCACGCCTCCGTGACACAGTGAAGACCCACAGCGTCGCCCTGACCTCCCTCGGGACGCCTTAACAGCCCTGGGTCCTGCCGGCGCCCTGGTGTGTCATGTGATCGCCCTGCCGGCCGGGGCGTCGGCCCGGCGGTCGGCATTTCTTCGAGCCGTCCCGCTGTGAAGCAAACGAAGGACTGGGCAAGTGAGCATTACTGGATCCACTTGCTCCGTTCCACGGTCAATCTTTCCCAATTTCGAGTGGAAACCACATTTCATTGATCAAGAAGTCTGCAAAATACTTGTTCAAGCCAGAGATAATTTTGGACCCATGCCGAAAACTTTGGGTACATCCGTGGTGGATGTAGCCCACCCTTGATTGGCCTCTCTCACCAAAGTCTACTTGAGAGGCCTTTTATTAAAATTTATTCCCCCTTCCTTTCAAGTGAGATTTGACCCACGAAGTGATACAGGTCGATAGCTAAGAAAATCCCACGGACGGCCCAGTATCGGCCGGCAGGGCCGGCAAGAATGTCAATGAAACCGGTTTTACCATCTTTCATAAACTTCCTCCTAGATACACATTTGCGAACAGTGTACCCGAGAAACGCTGCTGCATACACGCACTAAGGCTTCCCATGAGCCCCCAAACGAGTTGGAATCGATGTCTCATTCACCCTAGAAATCCGGAGTGGTGTGATGGCGGATTTGGGACTATTTGATGAGCTCAATCCCAAGGCCCCGGTCCTCGGCCATCAGGAGATTCACTCGGCAGCCAACATCCCCCCCCCCTCATCAAAAAAAAAGAAAACTAGGAACTGTCACAATTGGAGTCAAACGTTCTAATATTCATAATACTAATAAGAAGCGATCTCATTCTACAGGACACGTTTCGAGTCGGGCAAAATGATTTCTTGGTTCCTATTCCTCATGGTCGGCACTTCTTGAACCCAATGGCATTCTGATAAAATAAAAACAAACAAGAGAGAACCTAACTCACTAACTAACTAGAGTATGTGTTTTTTTTACAATCAGATGTTGGGCAGCCAAGCGGGAATGGGATCCTCCCAAGGATCTGGTCGACGGGTGATCGAGATGGAAGAAATAAGCCCCAATAGTTGCTTGCTTGAGGGTTCAACCTCTTCGTCCTCATTGCCTCACGTGAGCCAATTTGTTTCTACTTGTATTTTTGATGAGTTCGATTGAGGGAAAAGAAAATGACTGGGCTACGCCGGTAGGAACTACATGAGCACAGGATCAACATCGATCCTTCGAACCAAGGAACACAAATCGATCCATCTTATCCAGGCTATCGATCGCTTACAGACAGCTTAGCTGGGAAGTACGACCATCTGGACCACAACTCCAACTCTGCCTGTCCGAAGTGCACAAAGGACTTGACGCTGTTGGATGAAGAATCCAAGATGATTCCTTGGAAGAAGTTTGAGGACTGTAAACACATTTATCACACTGGTTGTTTACCCGCGGGGTACCAGAGGAAAGCGTTGGATATTTGTCCCTCCTGTTTGAAACTTCGAGCACGGCTGGCCCGAGAAGCACGAGTCCACGCCAGTCAATCAGAGGAGATCGCTGCCGAAGAAGAAGAAGAACACCAAGATTTGATGAGGCGCACAGCTACTATTGGCGTAGCTATTGGCGGCGCTGTAGGCGCTATGACCTTGTTCAAGTTTGCCATGGATAGTATGTGATGTTTATCTTCCAAGGAAATAGTGAGGTTGAATACACAGATTGCGGTCTCGAAAGTTGTTTCAGTCTAAAATCACTCAATGACATCTGCTCATCAGGCATTGGGTTCTGATCTCTGATTTCCGATCTTTGGATTTATTTTTGGATACCCTTTTCATTCTCTTCTTCTGGCCTTCTCATTATCTTGCTCTTTCTCCATTTATCTCTTTTTCAAATGCTAATTCTACTAAAAAGCTCACACTCACTAACCAATCAAAGTCCCCAAAAAATATTTGACCAATTGGAATTCTTCCCTATCCATAGTTCCTGATAAATAATTTTCTTAATATTTTAACAAGGCAAATTACCTTATTTTTGACCAGGTTTTTTTTCACTTGAAAGTTGACTGTGTGAGTGTCTGTGGTGCATTCATCCAAATGGAGGGATGGGCCAGGCGCCTGAGAAGCTGAACTGGATGCAGCAAGTGCGCCTACAAACACTTGAGAAAGGGAGATCATGGAGTTGTAGTTCAATCAGCTGATGTGCCATCGGTGATCACTCGTGCCATCTCACTGTGCTCTCACCGTTTCTTACAGCTCCCTGATCCTCTCCTTCGAAGGAGATGATTTTTTAATGCCGATTGGGTTGAATCTGATTTAATACTGCACTTGAGGGAATACATTATACCAGTTGTGTGCCTTTGGTTTCAAGGGAGAAGAAGGGGAACTCGGAATAGAAATATTATAGAATGCAAAGCCGCCATCATTCTCGGCACAGGCTGGGAGAGGGATGGTGTTGAGTCCTTGGCTGGAGGCGGGTTGGCCCGTGGGGTAACGGGTAGTGATGTGGCGGGGCCTCTGCAGACCACAGGGGTCGGCACGGCACTGCTCTGTCCACAACCGCCTTCCTTCCTTCCGAGATGACATCCAGCCTCTCGCCATTCCGACGGTGCTGCTGTCAGCAATTAGGACGGATTGGGTATCCGAGCCCTCAGTCATGGAGGGTATCTGCCAATCTGAAGCATTCACTGGTCAGTCAATGTTGAATTGCCTTTGACTTCTTTTTTTTTCCTCCTTGCCATCTAACTTTGTCCTTCTTCGGCCTGCTGCTAGAGCTTCAGTCAGAACAGATTCGTGGGAACAACCCCTGCTTCTTCTACCCCGCCGAAAACCGAGCCGCAAGCGCCCCCAAAATCACCTAGCTCATCGTTTCCCGAATCCATCAAAAGCAGTCGACCGAATCGGAACGTGGTTTCGTTGGCTCTGTTCATTGCCACCGGTGTCGGAATCTACTTCTACTTCAAAAATGAGAAGCTCAGGGTCGAGGAGAAGAAGCGCGAAGAAAGGGCTAGCAAGTCCGTTGGAAAAGTTAAAATCGGCGGCCCGTTCGAGCTCGTCAACGCTCAGGATGGAAAACCTTTCACCGAAAAAGATCTCCTTGGGAAGTTCAGCCTGATTTACGTTCGTCCTCCATTCTCTCTCTCTCTCTCTCTGAACCCTCTTCATCCGTTGTGAAATCCTCATCTGACGAGTTTTTCCTCTAATTGGGATTTTCAGTTCGGATTTACAAATTGTCCTGATATTTGTCCTGAGGAACTTGACAAGATGTGTGCAGTAATCAATAGAATTGGTGAGGAAACCATGTTTGAAATTCTCAACAATGTTTCAGTCTCATGATGACCAATGCCAATTGGACTTGATACCACTTTTCTACCACAACGGAAAAAAAAAACCATGTTGGGTGATTAAACAGCTGAAGACAAGAACATCAAGATTCCAATCCAACCGATCTTCATCTCTGTCGATCCCAACCGGGATACCCCGGAAGCAATATCCAAATACCTTGAAGAATTTGATCACAAAATGATCGGCTTGACTGGCGACTACGACTCGATCAAAAAGATGTGCAAAGTCTATCGGGTGTATTTCTCCACCCCACCGAATGTGAAACCTGGCGAGGATTATCTAGTCGATCATTCAATGTTGGTTCAATAACTTGACCATTCCCCATCACATCCATTGAATCCCGATCAGGTCCCCTTAAGATGCACTGAATGATTTGTTATTTGGCTTTTCCGAAATTTCTAGATTCTTTTATCTCATGGCGCCGAATGGAAATTTTGTCGATGCTTTTGGAAAGATCTTCAGCAAAGATGAAGTGTACACGAAAGTTCACTCATACATGACTGAGTGGGCAAGAGGTAAACGTTATGGCGAAGAGGACATCTAAGACCAATTTTAAAAGATACGCCTCGCAGATATACACCCATTCTCAAGTTTTATCGTAACTGCCCCACCACACTCCCGGTGACTTAGGTCATACTAGATCTAGCTTTGCCTCCTTTCTGTGTACTTGTTACTTCATATTGTGGAATAAATTGATATTCGACACAGCCAGGTAGGTACTCGCCGTTACAGTAGTCACTGGTTACATGGTGGTTATTCAGGCCCTAATGCAAATCTAGCCGTTTAGCCAATGCAAATCACTTCGTTTTCTTGTTCAAGATCGCAGACTACATGAATGTGCGGCGAGCTCGGTAGTTTCTGACAATTAGCCAGTGATTAAACCTCGCTGGGCCCTGTTGTATGTCCATAACAGTGACTTATCAGTGAACAAATGTTTCAGAAAGATGTGTTCATGTCAGAGTTTTTTTTCTTCAAGACTTGCTCAACAGTGTCGTCCATTCTTTGCCCTTCTTTCCTGTTTTGGCCCAATGTAATAACACTGTGTAGGAGCGTTTGTTTTGCGCATTGTATTCACTTCAATCTTTGAGAATGATGGTATCATTATATTTTTACATAAGCGGCATAGGCGGGTTTAATTAATTACAAAGAATGTGGAGTTCAAGAAAAGAAATGGAGATGGGGCCGTGGAGGCAATAATGATCAAAACACAACAATAGAATCAACGATACGAAATCACACCAAGGGCTGGTTCATTCATCTTGTAAGGTTTGCAAGTGAAAGGATTCATATATTAGCCAGTTGACTGTTCTAGGCTGTTAACATTCAAAATCTGATGACGGAAATCCTTAACTCACATTCATAACAGTAAGGGAAAGCACGAGTGTCCATAACTTTTTGGACTGGTAAATCAGCTCCCAAATCCAAAAACTTCAGGATGTCGGTGATTTTGGCATTGTTAACGTTTCTTCCTTGGACCGTCTTTTTTAGAGTAGTATCGGTGTCAGCTAAGTCGACGGGAAAGGATCGCTTGACAATTAAATAACTCACATTCCCGGTGTAATCGGTTAATCTGGTTTGGGGACTGGCGTCTTGCCATGTTGACCAATGATAGTCGACGTTGCCGTGGTGCAAAAAGAAAATTCTACGGAAATCAAGTTTTAGTTTGTCAATGACTTGATCTGAGTGTATGGACGCGAAGGGTTATGGAAAATGTTTTTACTTACGGCTACAATCGCGTGATGAACGAGAGATGAGAAGATAGTTGAGAAGTCAGCACTAGGTAAAATGGAAAGAACTGAAATTTGGGAATAGCTTACATCATTAGGCGCATAGGAACTGGGTGACATATCCTACATCAATCCGTATGAACACTGCTTCAGTGTTTGGTAATGTGGACAATGTCCTAGCCAAAAAAAAAGAGAAACTGACCCCTCCAATTATCATGTGAATTGTACCATGAGGCCCGGGTAAACTGACTCCACGGCTCGAAGGGTTTGTCCCCTCAATAGCGACACGGAAATTCAAAAAGTCTTGACTGCTATGAACGACCTTGATGGCAACATCGTCATAGTACTGGCTTCCATAAGTACTTCCCCTATCAAAAGGACGCGTTACGACAGATAATCATAAGTAACACGTTTGAACTTCTGAGATATCTGAAGCGTACCGTTCATTGAACTGAGCTGGGGAAGTCCAACCTCGCTCCAGAAGATGCTGATCCGGGTAACGTAATTGGAGATTAGCAAAAGCACCGTCGACAACTGTACCACCCCCAAGACCATTAGGGTCGGCAGTGTTATCTGCACCATTGGTGCCAAAACCCGTCTTCAACAGGAAAATTTTGGAGTCAGCTATGTGTGGAACAAGAAGGGCCGATATGGTGCCAATCTTACCTCGGGGTCCGATGACCATACGGCGGCTGTTGTGAAGTTTTGAGAATCCAATGTCCAATCCCAACGACTTTCCCAGAAAAATCAATGCTTGTGATTAGTAATACTGCAGAACACTGGAGTAGTGGCGATGCATTGCACTTACGGTAGGGCACCAACGTATCCACAGTCAATGAGGGCTTTCTCTTGAAGATAAATGAAATGCCTATGCCATGGCAAAAAGGCTGAGACCCAATGGACTGAATTACGAGACCTGTCGTGAACAAAAACAAAGTCGTCGTACAGCCGACGGCCTGTGCCCGGTTGTAATCTTGAAGGCTTTGAGAGCAAACACTTTATCGCCGACATGTATGACTTTTGGACATCGCGCTCCATGTTTCTCCATTCTTTTCGCACGCGGATTTGGGGGCAAACACCGGCCGCATTTGAGACTGGAGCAGTCGCAGGTGCGGTGGCAGGGTTAGCGGGGGCTGGACTAGAAGAAGGGGGAGGTTTGGGGGTAGGCGCTGGTGATGGCTTGGTAGGCGCTGGTGGAGCTTGAACGGGGGCTGATGAGGGATTAGAAGGCACCGGTGAAGGTTGAGGAGGTACTGATATAGGTTTGGCAGGAGTTTCTTGAGTTCCAGAATCAGTAGGATTGGCAGGCGGGGATGAAGGTACTTCTACGGGTATAATAGGTGTGGATACAGGCGTGGTGGGTGGGGGCTGGGGTCGGGTAGGTGCGGTGTTGGGGGGTGGAAATTGCGATTGACCTCCGGATGGTCCTCTGTTCCACATGTTGGGGAAAAAATTGAACAAGGAGTTCCACCAAGGCGACTGTGGGGCTCGCGATACGATTGATTTTGAGGCGGAGTGTGATAAGTTAATCGCGCGAAGACCATGTGCAAGCAACACAATATGCAAGACTGGCAGACAAAACCGATTCAATTCGCGAGCAATTAACATGATTACCAATGTTGTGTGATCTGAAATGATGTATGAACGAAAAGTTTGGCGAAACCGGTAGGGGGTACTGTGGTGGTGAAGCAGCATCAAGTCAACATTTGCGTGTTACTTATACTTCCGACAGAGCTTCGTTGGCCGACGCTCAAGGCAGACGTTCACATTTTTTTTTCGACCAGCCTCACAATGTTAGCCATGCATGAATACAAATTGTACGCTTATACGGACTTTGGCCTGGACCGGTGGGATTGGTGAGTGAATCCATTCCAGTTTCTACTGGGATTTGTATGGTCTAACGCACCCAGCCACTTTGAAAGTTGAACTGGGTCTGCGCTTATCTCTAAAGTCTAGCAGGTGAACTGGCGGAACAACGTCTTTAATTTCGCGAGCTTGTGTAAAGCCGAGTTAGCGTGCGCAACAGGCAAAAGATAATAAATACATGTGTGAATGTAACTATCGAGGAAAAGTCATACATCTGTAAAGAGAAATTTGAACAGATGAAATGGCTCTCGCTGAAAATACTTCAGGTCTGTTGATGCAAAAGAGTGATGTGCACCAACGTGGAGAAAAAAATAGTCGAATAAAAAAGGAGTTGAGAGGAAGTATGAATCGAGCCTTGACGAGAAAGCAAGGTGTGATTGATGAGAAGACGACATGGTTGATAAAGCTAGTGTTGTTTGAAAGACTCTTGTGGTCTCACTCGTCTTTTCACGGCAAAAGTCGGTGACATCAGTGACCCCACTTGCTCAGCGATGAAGTCGAATAAGAGCTTGCTTACATCTGTAACAATACGGAGCTGCGGTGGTGTCCATCGTATCTTGCACGCGCACATCGGGACCCAATCCTAAAAATTTGAGGACGTCGGTCGGCTTGGCATCGTTTCGCGTTGAACCACGGGTGGCCTGTGCGTAGCGTCAAAAGAGATGAGTGTAGGATGGGCTATAGAACCAGACATTGGCACGTTACCGGTCCTCCGTAGGCGTTTAGACGAGTAGAACGCTGCGCGTTTTGCCATCGCCACCAGTGAGACTGTGTGTGCGCCCCGACCAGAACCAGATTGGAAGGGTTAGCAAATTTTAAACCAGCACGGAATGTGATCAACTAAAACTGACATCAACGTTGCAGTGATGCAAGTAGAATAGCCTGAAAAGTAGAGAAGGGTCAGTTTAGGTGAATCAAACTGAACCATTAGCAAACGGAAGAAACCAACGGCTAGAAGACAAAGCAGGGGAAGTTAGCATAATGTGCGTCTCTCAGATGAATCCACATCACTTACTTCGTTTGCCGCATAAGCAGTGGGGGAGATGTCCTTAAATGGAGAATGGATTATCAGCTTGAGTTTTGGATTGAGCAAACTATTGGCACAAAAAGCTCACTCCACCAATAATTACGTGAATGATGCTGTGTGGGCCGGGATTGCTGGGCCCTGTTGATGACGGATCGGTTCCCTAAAGAGGTCGCCGAGGGGTATGAAACTTTGTCAAGAATCTGCACCACGGTCAAAGCAAAAAAACAACGTAGACACACTTCTAACGCCAGGGCAAATTTCTGATAGGTGGTTTGGCTTTGAATTCGGTTGATTGAAGCGGTGTCACTAGTGTTCAATTTTATGGCCAAAAACCAAAAAACAGACCACGCGTGTAAGCGTCACTACTTACAAATGAGTAACGTATTTCAAAGTTGCTTACAAAAATTGACTGCCATAGCTCCGGCCTCTGGATAAAACGCATTATGAGCTGACGGTCGCATGCGCTAATACGTAGAAATATTGATCTTACCTCTGTCTGTACTGAGAGGGAAGATTGTAACTGCGTTGTAATTCATGGTACTCGGGATAGTATAACGGCCAGTTGGCGAAAGCGCCATCTGTTATGACACCCCCATCTAGAGTGAAGTACCCAGAAATCAGGAGGAGTTAGTGTCCCTTCAATATGTCATCATAGCTGCGAGAAAGAAAAATGAATGCAGCCATGTTTGTTGAGCGTACCAAGGCCATCATCTGCATTGCTGAAATCACGACCGTCACCTCCAAAGCCAACCTAATGAATGTAAATTTGGACCATAATCAAAACTTGACAGCGCGTATAAGGAGGATGCTTTAATGACTGACGTCGGGGTCAGACGACCAAATGGGAGATTTTGACATGTCGGCCGAGTCAAGAGTCCAATCCCATCGTGGTAGACTCCCGGAATAAGCACATTCATTTCTTAAGGCTTGTTCATAGTAGAACATGAACTGACGATGCCCTGGAGTAAAAAGAAGGCGGACGAATGTTGTCATAAATTTCAGCAAATTTTTCAAAGCGTCATTGCGAGTCAGGCTGTAAGGGTGATTCGCTACTAACAAGGTAAGAATGCAGCAATCCAGTGGATTTTGTTGCGCATCCTCGAGTGGACGTTCTCAAAATCGTCATATCGACGATAATCGCCTCCAGGAAGTAGTTTGGAAGGAAGGTCGGCTAGACACTTCACCGCGTTGATGTAATCGGCTTGTTCTTGGTGACTGAACTTCCTCCATTCGCGCCGAACGCGCACTGTTGAGCAGCCCCCTGTGGATGAGTTACTGCGAGGGACTGTGGTACTTGACTTCACTGGTGTGGATGTGTTTAAAGAGCTAGCGGATGTGCTCAAGGAGCTTGCGGAGGTATTTAAAGAGCTTGCTTGAGAGGAAGAGTTCGGGAGGGAAGAGGGGTTTGTGGCTGGGGCGGGCGATGGTGCTTGTTGGGCAAAAGGAGATGGCGCCGGTTGAGCCGCTGGTGGAGCGGGTGCCGCGGCCGGCTGAACCGCTGGAGGAACTGGTGCCGGCACGGGTTGAGCTGCTGGAGGAGCAGGTGCCGGCACGGGTTGAGCGGTTGGAGGAGCTGGTGCCGGCACGGGTTGAGCCGCTGGAGGAGCAGGTGCCGGCACGGGTTGAGCGCTGGAGGTTGACTAGGCTGAGTGGATACCGGATTATCATGAAAGCGTCCTTGGCTTGCAAAATTGAATGGGAACCATCTCCATGGTTGTGGGTGACGGGCAACATGATGCAATCCATGTTGCGCGTGTACCATAGGATTGCAGGATGCGATTTGCAGTAAGACCAATGCTAAGATGGTTCTTTGTAGTAGGGCTTGAAAGGGAGGCATCTTGAAGGTAGATAATGACAGAGCTGATGTTCACTGTTATAATGATTAGGAATGGGGTTAAGTTTAACCTACCCGGAAGATTCAATGTGGTGGTGTACTGGGCCCAGATGAAAAGAACGAAATCGGGGTGGAGGTAAGGCAGAAGAAAAGCTCAACTGCAGTTATTTTCTCAGTTATTAAATCTAATTGAGGAAGCGAAAGAAAGCTGCCAAACGACTGCTCAAGCTGGAGTACTTCTATTTCCAAGTGGTCTTACTCAACTACAGGTACCTTTGGCTCATGTATAGTGCTCCGAGTCGCTTTACTTGGCTTGGCCACAAGTGTGATAGTGTAATTAATTCGGAGTTGCCGTCGCTCTGCGTGCACTGGCGATGATACTCACAGGAGGATTCTTCCAGCCTGTGCACATTTACTGAGCTGGGATGATCGATTGTGACGCTATGTATGATGACTACTCTCCGCTCCAAGCTTGACCGACAGCTTCAGCCTAGGCTTCCCATGGAAGGAAAGAATCATTACAGCGCGTGTAGACGCGGGAGCAAACTCAACACCAATCCTTCCCGGAGTCCCTGGGGGCAAAGTTGTGCTTGACCCGCGCGGATGGCCCTCCGATCGAGAGGCTTTCTTAAACTGGGCGCGGGTCCTGTCCTTTCGCAGTAGTGCTCGTACTACCCAGGGCCAGGGCGAAGCCAAGTAATTCCCGAAGCCAATTCTCTCAATACATAGACATTTTACGATGTCCTTCAATGCTCGATAGTTTCTGAAATTTGATGGTTAGCCCCATGTTCCACAATGGACCTGGCCTGTGAGAGTCATTGAGCAATGAAGGCTGGATGGCCCCGGCTGACTCCGGATTAACATTCTCAGTGCGGTGTTCCAGGGGCTTCATGAAGTCTCGTTCATTTTCAAGCCGCAAGAACAGGAATTTCAGTTTCGAAACCGTGTTTTGGTAACTTCGACTCAGGCAGACGGTCATGAAGCCGCCATGATGGCCTCAGGTTGGCCGAAAGTCACATGACGAATCTTAGAGGCAGTGCAGAGGAGAGTTCGAGGGATTGCATTACCGCTACCAGGAGTTTAACCTGATTTAACACTCACACTATCAAGGCCTGGGTGGCTCACAAACCCCGAGGGTTATCTGTGGTCGGATTGACAGTAAACCACCTTGCAAGAATATGAGGGCACATGATCACAAATAGTAATGAAGTCACTTTGTCAGCAGTGGGAGCCGCGTGCCATAGCCCAGGGTCTGTGAGCAACTCCTACTGCCGTGGTGGCGGCTACATCACCGAACTATTTTATCCTTCCGTCTTGTCCTGTTTCAGACGGATATGTGGCAGTTTGCGAGTCGGCCGTGGTGTGGTCAACAGTGTTTGCCGGCAAACTGCCGGGCTTTGTAAAAGGCTGTCTTAGCGGAGGGGCTCTATAACCAAGTTGATTTTGCCTCAAGTTTGATGACCAGCTGTTTGACTAACCCAACTTGCAATTTTTGAAAAATTTTGTTCACATTCTTTAGTGAGGTCACGGGAAGGGAAGTTTAGAGTTTTGGATTCAAACAAGTCATGACATTCATACATTTTTGGTTACTGCCCCCTACCAGCCCCTCTCTCTCTTGATCAGGAAATGTAACTTCATACATTACCAAAGTTCACTTTAAAATCAATGCATAGCAATAGTATTTGGGTAAACAGGTTCCCCTGCCAGGCAAAATATGTTGATGAATTCATGTTGATGCATCCATGCAATGACTTTGGACATCACTATTGAATACCCCTACTTTTGGTGGGTAACATTTTGGTGGTTAGCCCAAAATTCCATAGTTGTTGGCTCCTGATATTTGTGAAGGGAGGGGGGGGGGGCTTCCTGGGTCCTATTCTGGCCAGAGATGATTTTTAAGTATCAAGCACAATCTTGATCAAGATTGCACATGAGAATTACTTCAATATACTGGATAAAGTTTGCTTGTGCAAGGAAAATGGTATACTATCAGTGACAGGTAAGCTTGCAAACACAGACCTGGCTCTCTCACCTCAGATTGTTGCTTGCTTCAGTCAATCAAGACATGATGTATCAGTATGGCCACAACAAAATTCATCTGTGCAACAATCAAGGAAGCCTTCCTAGATGCAATGCCTCAATTTGATTTTATTTTTTCCATGTGTTCCTTATGTTCTTGTAGCCTCCAATGAACATTGCAATGAAGCAGAATTAATTGTAGCTGCTTTTGTCCAAAGTACACAACTTTTGCAGGTTATGAGTCGATTGATGATCGATTTGTTAATCCAATAAATCTGCCACTCCATCTTGTCACCTCCAATTTGATGACACCAAACAAATTCACCAGAGTGACATTCCAAAAACAATTTTATGAGCATCATAATAGTCAACAAGAAACTGATTACATCTACATAACCTTTTTAAGATTGTCTAGAGCACTTAAACAAATTTTACTAGCCAAATGAAATTGTTCTCTTAATGTAAAAAGCCAAGTTTTGACAAAATTATCAGAGGGGGAAAGATCTACTGTAGCATTCAAGGGGACAAGATAAAAGCTTAATAATTCAACAGTTGAATGAAAATGATTAATGAGTTGATTAAAGCAATTCTGTATACGATCTATCGAAGCATGCCACCCAGCATTCATGTACAGCCATTGCACACCGGTCGCAATACGTTGGATACCGCTATAGAGGTTTATAACTTTAGTTTCCAGTAATATCATCTCATATGAACATATCTTACGCTCAATAGTAAATGGTGATTTACTTGATGGAGTGTTGGAAAGTTTGTTGGAAAGTATTCTGGTCAATTTGATAAATGCTATGATCGATTCAGCAAGTTGAACAACATGGAACCTTGGCGAGGTATTCTGAGATGTGCCACCGGGATTGCGGATGGTTTCAGGTTGATCGTCACTTCGAATCGGAGTCGAGGTATGCTCATCATGGGGTATGTGAGCTGGTTTCAAACGGCTTGGTAGAATGACGTTTCTAGTTAGGCTTTCCAGATAACCACCAAGATAATCTCCACGGCTCTGCCAATGGCCTTGGAGAATAAAAAAATCGGATCGCTTGGAGTAGTCGATTAGACCGTTGATTGCAGTGATTGTCGACTCTCTGCGGCGAGTTAGTATTGATTGATCGGCCGAACTGCTCAGTTGTTCCCTCGAAGGCGGCCAGTCGAGAATGAAACAGGCCTGTCGGTTGAGCAATGGACAGATGTGTATTTCTATCAACGGACCTATCTTATTCAGCAGAGCACCAAGCCTGTATACCTTGGAACCCCCGCAATCGCGGTCGTTTTTCATGAATTCATGGGGTGAATAGATTGAGGCAATGGCAATAATCTCTTCCACAAAATCTGCGAACTGATCCACGGTTTGACTAAGCCGCGAGATGAGCGCTAGAGCATTATGAGGAAGGTTCGGATGTGATCCTCTGTGGAGATTGTCTAGCTCTAGTGACTCGAACAGATCGCCGAGATGCTCTCGTAGATTGGGCAGAAGTTTTGACTGTGCTTGGAACAAGAGAAACTTTCGTGTTTCCTTTTGAACGGTTTTGCGAATTCCCTTGCGCGAGTCATAATCCGCTATATCCTCACACTTTATCATCAGGTCTCTGAGACCCTTCATGATGAGAGCTGCAAAGAATTAAACAAATTAGTAATTACTCAACTCGATACATACTTGAAAAGAGCCATGATTAGGCTTGCTTGGAAGGAGAGGGAATTCAGACTACATACGTACCGGATGTTTTGTAATCCAGCATGGCTTCTATGGCTCCGCGTAAATGTTTCCACAAACCAGCGGAGCTTGGTCATGACAGAAATAGCCCAGCAGTCCCCGAGCCCCGCGGTTAACATAAGTCCCTTCACCCTGCTGTCCGCGGGGAGCCCGGGTGGACTACTCGGCCTATGGCCTACATCTTGCCGTCTTTAAAAAGGGCCATTTGACTTGACATATTTATTATGTACCGCACTATCTATAGCAGTGTTATGTACAACAATCGTATGCGTCTCTCAAGAAAAGGAAAACAGCGCCGCATCGCAATGTGACAAACGCCCTGGAAAAAAAGGAAACCAGTGAAAGGAATTTCAAGGAGATATGCACCATATTAGAAAAGGGCAACAAAGAAGTAAGAAGAGGGGGAAAAAGGGAGACAAGAAGAAACTGCTTGCCGTCGTAGTGCTCGATGTACTGCGTGCATACCTGTGATGAACTTCTCAAACTGCTTTCAGAAGTGCCCTTTTTTTGAAGTGCAGTTTGTTTTGACATTGCGCACTATGAGGAACCAACAATAGAGTAGAAGCTGTAGCAAGAGATGTCCCAATGGACTACAAACCATTCCGACAAAATTCGCATGCACAAGTGCCCTTGGAACATGGCTGTCCCCAGCATGCCAATAGTTGGGAAATACTTTTGTATTTATCTGGAAATCGTATGAACTTTTGTATCTGGATTCTGTGTACCATGGCGAGACGTTTGAACCCAGTGGGCCTTCCAACTCGAATTGATGGTGAGCACCGAGCTCCACCGAGACATGTTTGCCAGCCCTTGAGGGGTGTATGCATCACTTCAGCTTTCATGGATTGCACCACTCATACCTGTAGACAGCAATGTCCAGAGGTTGGTGCGTATTCTGCAAGCCTACGCCCTAATCACCTTCTCCATCCTATTGATCGACAACACAAATCACCAGGTCTTGAAAACAATCTAACCCACACGAGCTCCAGCATATTTCTCATAGAAGCCGTGCAAACCCAAAAAAGATGCTCTTGACGGTGCGACTCTGGAAGATATCTTTGCTATTCTTCCTGGCCATTGAATCCAGATTGTGCAGTCTGCTTCCCAAATGGAATCCGTCAGGCGAGGCTGATTCTCCGCCCCTCTGGGAGGCACTCCGAAATCAATTTCCAGGGATTTTTTCTCCCGAGACGGATTCTAGCATTCACTCGGCAGGCTTTTCAAACCGAGGTCCCGGAGATAGAAGGGAGATCCAGCGTGGCTTGAATGATTTCCCAGGAGGAAGTAGCCGGGCAACGAAATCAACACCGACGGAAACACCAAATGGAGCAAACGATCCTAGTAATCATCTGTTTGCCGGATGGAACGACCATTTTCCTGCCACTGGAGGCACCCCAAGTTCAAATCCACTACTGATGAACATGTTAGATGGCACCCACACATCGCACAAAGGATACCCAGCGCATTCCGGCAACGAACCGATTCCGTTGTTTGATGATTGGTTTTTTCGAGCTATGGACCCTTTGCAGACTTTTCGTTCGATAGAAGAAGTTAGCAACGCAGGTCCAAGCTTCCCCTCAGCTCGACTACCAAATGTTATAGCCGCCTCGGAAGGAGTCTCGCAAAAGGCACTTACCCAGACTCCTCGCAGGGCTAGCACTAAGCGGACTGCAGGTGTTCGCCTTGACGTAACCAAAGGGCCAATGGCCAAAAAACCGAAACTGAAAACCTTTGAATCATTGAGATTGACACGCTCACAAATTCAGGAAGAACTCGTGCGCGAATTGCGACAGAGCTTGAAGGAAGCCGATGCGATACATCTCGAAACGCATTCGGCACTGGTCTCAAACGAGCAACGGAACATATTTCCCATAGAGGCTGCCGATCTCAAGCAACTCGTCAGCTATTACATATATCGATCAAGATACAATGAAGGGTTCACTATAACTAAAATAACTACGAAGGACGACGATGAAAATGAAGCCCGCAACGCTATCAAGCACTTTCGATCATCAATTCAAGCCCAACTCCAATCCTACGTAGATGAAGTTGACATTCCATGGTTCCAACCATATATGGCAATGGAATCGTGCCCAACCAATCCGATCATCGCATCGTACTCGGCTCGCGTCATGAAAGACTTCTCACAATCAATAAAAGACCTTTCTGAAAAGCGGGGAAACTCAAAATATCATTCAGTTACTCTGACCAGTCGGGTCGTATCTGCACTACCTTTCTACTTGTTCTATGTAGATATGATCAACACCCTGGTTCCCCTTCAAGGCAGAAGCGACCAAGCTGGACTGAGATCGCAGAGGATAACGGCAGGGAACCAATTGATCGGAATAGCAGACCGTTTACTTTCCGCAACTGAGACGGATTTGAAGATGGGTCTCGGGCTGGACAAAACAGTCATTCTTGCGTTTCAGAATTCCGTCAATTCAAACGACAGATACGCAAGATTCATTTGGAAGATGATAGGCTACTGGATCAATTCCTCCAGAGAAGACCTGGCCGAGGCAGCCAGTCCACAATTCGAAAGATTGAACAATCTCGCCGTCAATCTAAGGTTTAAGGCATTCTTCAACGACATATTTATATCCTTTGTTCTGGGACATCTTCCACCAAAATAAAAATAATGGCAGACCTGTTTGTATGTTGTGAAATGCACACTTTTTAAATAAAATATTTCCTTATGATAATGAAAAAAGTAAATAAAAAAAACTTTTGGCAAAGTCTCGTGAATCCAAAGTTTTCTTATAGAAATTCAATGCTTTAGTGAATGGATAAATTGAGATTATGAGTGTTCAAGGACAATTGAATGAAATTTTATCTTTTGAGGCAAAATATGTGATTGATGAATTGAGCTCACAATTGAGGTTAAAAATACTGATACATAAGGTCACTAATATTTAGTTCTCAAGAACATCTCTAAACAACAATTGCTTGCAACTTTGTCTGACTTATTTTTCATACCAGGTGCTATATTTTGAACTAGCTCACACAGACATAAGTCTCATATTCTCATAATCTGTGAAGCACATAGAGAATTTTGGCACAACCATGCACATCAAGTGTGACAAACACTTGGACAGAGATAGCCAAAGTGGCCTGTACAGCCCCTAAACAGAAAAAAACCAAACCCCTCTATGCTACATCAGCAGGAAGGGTTCCAGTTTTTTCTGTCATAGAGCTGTACATAACACTACACGTTCAGGCCCCCAAAATGTAAACACTAGTAACTGCCCTACACTGACATACTGCTTAGCAGCATTTTGTCTATGTAGCAGCCATCTGTGGCCTCTAGTGCAGCACAGCATAGCAAAAACACACTTGGCAACATCCAATTTGAACCCAAAAAAGCCACTACACTAAACCCTTTGGGAAAAAAGTGCAGCAGCCCATCTTTGATAGACCATAGTGTGTAAACTCTGTAAATCAGATTTTTGCACCAGAATAGATAACTGATTTCAGCCTCAGGTGCTTTAGCCAATGAGCTTCAGTTTTTTAAAATCTCTTAGCAAGGTAGACACTATTGACAATCTTCCTATGTGTGGCTAAATGGGAAAAAAAAAATGATTATGGGATTCAAAAATTTCTTATTTTCCCCTTGCGACTATGTCAGAGACAACCTTTCATTGGAATATAACATGTAGCTAGGGGATTTTCCATCTTGGAATCACGGGGATGGGAACTATGGAGTTTTAAGTGTGAAAAATTC